TTGCGTGGCCCTGCAGTCAGCTGTTGCTCATCTCATGTGAGCTGTTGGCAAAGCTGAGGTGAAGGGCAGTGGAGCAACTGTGTTCTTTTTTTTCTATTATATTATAACATGACTCGGCTGCAAGAGGTCTGTATGGGTACTCGGTGTTTGACTTGGTCGCCCTGACTATTTAAAGAACGTTCTTCATGTTGTGTAATTCACTACAGCAAAATACTTTCGTGATTATTTTTTTTGTTGCATAAAGCACCGAGGGTACACTGTAAAAAAAACACTTGCATCCGTATGATATGAATTTTATAATAAATACTGTATGGGATTTTGTTTTATTTATTCTCGCCGAGAGGAGAAAAAACCCAACATTCCGGGTGACTGGAATTCTTCAAGAAGATGTGGGCATGCGACTTTCCGATTGTCAGTCGAGGTCCCTACCACCATCGTCAATTGGCCAAATACAGTCACGTGAATAACCAAACAGAACAATTTGTAGAAGACGGAACCGTAAAACCCGGATTGAAAATCCTGAATCGATGGCCCCTGTGCAAACTGTAGCCCGATTGACAGGTGATGTACACCAGGTGACAGTGATGCGTGTCACAGTGCAAAACAAACTCGTGACAAATGAGCTTCCCGTGCCTCTCCGCAACCTGATACCAGCCTGGCCGCTCTTGACGAGCACAAGTTTAATTGCGAGATGCCGGCATTAGTTCCCACCTTTAATCGGCACGATTGCCTGTCTTGATGATCTAATGCATGCATAGAGGTTTTTTTATTAATTTGGAACCTTTAGCCTTTGTTACGTTACACATACCTGGTAGCCCGGTGCTGTGGATAGAGCGTGTAACTTGCAATAGGAAGCTTTGGGAATTTTCCTTCTAACAGCTCTTCATTCCCCTGGGTTGACATAATGGCAACACAACTTTCTGGGAATTGAAAATAAAGGTTGACTGGCCCCTGCCCTAATAATGTGGAATTTTCTCTGCTGACTCATGGCCATAAATGGAGATGAGCAGAGCCCCCTGCGTATTTGACAAGGGAAACACAAGGGGTGTAAAGCAATAGCGGTCATTTAATTTCTCGGTACACACGGCTATTGTATCACGAGCTAACATTAACAGGAGAGGAGTGTATCCGAGCAAAATCCCGAGGCACAGGTCCATCGTCTTACTGTCCCATGGACAATGCCATGGAAAGCTTTGTGTCTTAAGCGCTAAATTAGTTCCAATAAAGATTTAGTTTCGAGCATAATCTGATCTGGGGTAGCTTTTGCACTGCTGTAGGGGTTAGGTTCACAAATGGGTCCGGATAACTGGCCTATTCCCTGACAGCAAGGTGTGAGTTGTGGAAAGGTTCTGAGTGTTCTGAGACGTGGTGGATTGTGCAAATATTCAATGTGGCAGTGGCCGAAAGATAATGATGATAATGATGATGACAATCATCATCAACTTTGATCTGTCCACTGCTAGACGAAGGGCCTGGCCGTGTCATCACCAACCGTCCATGGGCTTGAAGTGCCAAAATCGTGTGCCTGCTTGTGACATGTACTTACTAAACAATCGATGTTATTTCACCAATGTGTATTTGTTCTCGGATCCGTGTGTCCTCTTTCTCTGAGTATAATTCCCAACATGCATTTCTCCATGCCACTTTTTTTTACTTTTCAGCTTTGGTTCCATTTTCTTTGTCATGTTCATATTTGAGATATGTACGGCCATAGAAAGTAATGCACACTGATGAAAGACCATCATCATTTGGTAAATTGGCACGTCGCTTTTTTATTATCAAATACAATAAAAAAAACACTACATTGCTCTCTCCCTTGCCACTTTATTTAATCGCTTTCATCCCGGTGCATCAAAGCCTGCTTTTAGAGAATCCAGCCATCTGGCATTAGTTCTGCCAAATAATTTGAGTGGACTGCACCAACCTTACTAATCCAGGTAACATCACGCAATCGCATGAGGGATTATATCATGGCTAATGACGTGAAAATACTGAACAAGGGTGTTTAAATAATTATCATGACGAACGACGTGAAAATACTGAACAAGGGGGGTTAAATAATTAACCCCAAGCGATTATGGTCACGAATAGAGTGTAAAGGCCATAAGGGTAGCATTGTGACTGACACTTTGACCTTTTCGCTTGCAAGGTGACCACATGACAAGACAACACCGTGGTTTGTAATACAACCATAAATTGTCAGGAAGAAGTTAAGAGTTAACCAGGTTATTGCTGTTGATCCATATTTGTTTCTGGGTGAGACCACTCTTGAATAACACACAAAATATCCAACCAGGTAGCACTGCGGTGAAAGTGCTGGATTCACAATCCGAAGGCTACAAGTTCAAATCATCCTAGAGGATCACTTAGGCGCATGATCTTTTCAGAGTCAATAAACAAAGAACCAATTTGTAGGAAGTTTTTTTTTTTAAATCCTGTGAATATACCTGACTTCGTCATTGGAAAGTGGAATTTCCACCACTGTCTCAGGGCCACCACCAGAGATGAGCCCAGGCCAATGCTCATTTACGTTATTTGACTTTGTGAGTGAGCACCTATTTTTGCTGGTACGGGGTACAAGGGGGCAGTACAGTGAGCACCATGCTCAGCTGCCACTATTTCCACAGTGCTCTTTCATACATGAACATCTGTGTACATTAGTTTCCACTGCTGGATGAGGTCCTCCGCACACCGTGCGTGACGTGGCGGTTATTCAGCCACGCTCGCTGTTTCTATACTAGTTGGTAAGCTAAGGTTGAGTCTAAAAGATACCGCTTGCAAACTAAACATGGGGTCAGGGGTGGAAGCCGTTGTTCTGGAATAGCAAACTGCTGCTACAACGTCACTGCTCACAACACACGTGCACATTGTTTAAAATGACAAGACACAAGGTGGCGCAATTTGCACTTAGGGCAATCAATGCAAGCATAATGACACAATTAACTTCGTACTTTCATTCGAGTGGGAGGGGTGTCTGGTCTTGGGAGTGGGAGAAGGAAGTGCATGCCATAAGGGTTTGCTGTCCAATAGACATTAAGACCACATGACTCACATTGCTAAAAATAGGCCATCATGTGCTTATTTAATTGCACAGCATTCCCTCATTAATGATAAAACTGCCCTTTTTCACTTCCGAGATGATTAATGTATGCATGTTGAACTTCTTTCCCGCTGTACGTAGCCAACCATGCTTCGGGGAAGGACAACAAAACTAAACACAAAAAGCATTTGTGAAAAAATAAGTTTTCGATCTAGATTTAATTGTGCATAGCTACAGTGGCTTCCTAATATCGGAAGGAAGAGCTTTCCAGGTGGCCACAGAAGCGCATCTTAAAGCACATGGTGCGGTAACCATCATTGTTCGATGGCTAAGCTTAAAGCCGCTGCGAACATGATTTGAGTTCGCGTGATGGTTTTTGCCCCTTCACGAGATCAGCAAGGCATTTTGGTTCATTTGTGGAAATTGATAAACAGTTCATGAGTGTTTTGATTTAAAGCTTTCGTGACTGCAGTAATTCATATTCTTAGTTTTTTCGGTAAAGTCACGTTGAAGGGAAACAACAAAATAATAAAATATATATTTCTTATTGTTTTATATATATTTTATTATTTTGTTGTTTCCCTTCAACGTGACTTTACCGAAAAAACTAAGAATATAATAGTTCATGAGTGTGTTGTCACATGGTTACATAAAACAGCAAAACAAGTTTGAAGCTTTTTTTGTTTAAATCGGGCAGCCCCACTGAGCAAGGCTCTGTGGGTATTAGAGGGCCCAGACAGATGGGTTAGAAACCCACTTTCTGTACTGATTTCCACAGGCAATATCTTTATTCCTGCAGCTTCGTGTTTCATGCAGATTCCATCTCGATCGACCACCCCCCACCTCCGTATTACTGGAATACATGGTGTGTGCCACTTATACCCACCAGTTAATGCAGCACGTACAATGAATATCCTTGGAGGTGGTCGGAGGTGGCCAGAGATTAAAGCACAGAGCAAACATCGCTGAGATCTTTAGTTTGAATGTGGTTTTCAACCAACTGATTAAATCTGCGCGAGTAAATACTGTCACCATGTAGCTATGCCTTAAGCGTCCTAAATGCAGAGGAGTGGGCTCTCGTGTGGATAAATAAATGTCAAAAGAAAAAAAAAATACTTAGCTAAATTCTCTTCGGATGTATTGCAACAGCATATTTATGTCTGTGTCCCAAGAACTTGTATTGCTTTAAATCCTTTTGTTACTGTACAGTCTCTGCTCTGTGAATTCAAAATATCGGTTTGGCTGCCATGCAACAAGCTTTAAGTGGGATAGTGCGGTTCTTACTTTGTGAAGGATAGAAAGGCCACGAAAAGTATATTTCAGAATTCTTGTGAAAATTCTCTTCCACAGCTGTTCCGATACATGGGGCATGCATGGCTGCTCTTCGAGATGATCGAAATAGATATTTGGTCTCATGAACTAATGCAGATAGCACACCTGGAATAAAGTTGGGGGGAAAGAAAAGACAAAATCATCGAATGTAATTTTATTACTGACGGTGCGTGTACTTAACAGCATATTTAACCTATTGTATTGTGATTTGCTCAAGCGTGCCCATGGAAGTTTCGAGATGTTGCGTGATACACATGACCTTACGAGCACAACTAAATAAAACCACACGAATATGAAACCAGCCTCAGGACAAACGGCAGACACATTTGACATCTGCCCAATGTTGTTGAACAGTAACGCCTGACAGAAAACTAGTGTGTTTTAAACATTATCTTGGAAACATGAATTCATGAGACATCGGTGCTGCATGCATTGTTTACCGGTCTGTCTTCCGCTCGAGTGTAGCTGTCAAAATGCATTTGTGTGAAATTAATGGTTGGCTTCTGTCCAAAAACCTGATGTCACCGAACTTGGTCATCATCTTGAAACCAGCCTTGCCCTCCTCCCACACTCCGTTCCTCTACCCTCGCGTCACGCTCCTCCGCTCGACCTCTCCCTGTGCCCTCAGGTGAACTTTGAAGCTTTCAAGAAGGGCTTCGTGTGGCTTTTGTCGGAGGGCCCTGCGCTGGCCGAGGACTGCGAATCGCAAACCGGTATGTCCTCTCCAAGCCTCTGGTTTGGCATTTTCAAACCTTAATTCAATGCTATTGCATTAAGCATTCCAGCACACCTACCCGTGTCTTACCCACCCTGACATATCTCTTACCTTATAAGGGAACGCTGCTTTTTGAGTCATTACCGTCGTTATATTCTGTTAATGCTTCATTTGATTTGGTGCTTTTGTGACTGCAGGAATTACTCTTTGGTTTTTTCGGTAAAGTCACGTGGAAATAAGAAATAATAAAATTACATGATAGCGTACGACGTTTCGATTGCAACACAAGCAGTCATCATCAGGTACAGAAGATGATTGCTTGTGTTGCAATCGAAACGTCGTACGCTATTATGTAATTTTATTATTTCTTATTTCTACGTGACTTAGCCGAAAAAACAAAGGGTAATGCTTCATTTGTTTGAATTGTATATGTTAATATATCTGCGGATACGTTTTCCATGAGCGATGAAAGCTGTGAACATAGTGGGAAGCAATTAATGTCAACAAAATACAACGATGTTATTTACCGTGTTATTACATAGTTGTCGATTTTCCAGTTAATTTAAAATACACTATTTAAAAAAAAATACAGCTAATTAAATTGCGGTTGACACACATATGTCTTTACATTCGATTGATCATAGGTCACAGCCCACTCCCATAGCTCAGCTATCCATGGCATATTTCCCACATTTGTGTACACTCTCCCACCCATTTACCCAATTAAATTTGTGATGACACCGACTAGATCCTCGGAGCCATCCAGATGTGACTCAATCTAGATGTGGTGAGAACTTAATTTCTAAGCAAATGAAATGCTAAGCCATTATTATAGACACTATATACTGAGAGTGGTATTGCAAAATAGGGTTGTCATTTATTTAGAGTCTCAAATAATATGATTTTCATCGAGGGAATTTTCTTTTTAGTTCAACAGTTTGTGAAAATAATTGAAGTGCAAAGACGAGAGCAGCTTTCACTGGTCACACATCAAGGAAAAAAGGACCGTACTAGTATTTTCTCTCACTCATCTGCTGCAGGACATAACGTCACTGTCACCTTGGAAATTAATCCTGCACGTACATTTTCAGGGAAACAAAGATGCGACGGGATCTTGTGGTTAGCTCCCAAGTGATTCGTCCACTCATTTTGAAAGATTATTTAACATTTTACAGCAAATATATCTTCCTTCTGCTACTGGCAAACAGGTACAAAGTGTCTCTCTGCTCAAGTAAGCATGGGGCGGTGTGTACCTTCGTCGGTGCCACTTGTATAAAAAGTCACATTCTTACGTCGAAGGCCTAGTCACCCAATAGAACAGCCCATGATAATTTCCCTCTGCTGCTGCATAGATTTTTGTGCTTGTGCTATACAGTCCTCGAATGTCTTTTTGGGTTGATTGATAGATTGATGTCCGACATTTCACTCCACGTGCCGGGAGCAACTTCTGGAACTGAATGTGCAGTCCAGTTCCTGAAGAAGCTCCCAGCACATGGAGCGAAACATCGGACAAAATGGCGAATAACTTAAATACATCGCAGAGGTTTATTATTTCCTACTGGTTACCTTTTTTTTGGAGCTTCCTATGGTAACAAAACATTTTAACACATAGGATTTCACGACCAATATTACTCATAATAAAGTTTTTTTTGGGTTAAATTGTAAATGTTGTGGGTTTACTCTCCAACACACCGGTGTGCGGAGGTAGTAACTAATTGACACGTTTTGTTTACGTGAGAAACCTTATTAATTGGCTGTGGTAGGCTAATGACACATTTATATTTACTTGATTTAACCCCAAGACAATCTTTATAAGGAGCAAAAACCATGTGTCGGGTTGTAGCTTGTCTTGAACACGACATTGCAACCTCTTTAACATTACCTCTCAAGGTTCTACATATGCATTTATTTTCACTCTGACTGTTAAAGGTGGGCTTATCACCATCTAACCTATAAAAGTTATGTAATACAAGGCGTTTTTGATCCATCTATTGATAATTACTACGAAACTATCAAACCACTGCATAAAGAGAACCTGACTTTATTTTGGGGTGGGGGGGGGCAGGATTTTAACTCTGGATATTCGGTGCTGTCATGCCCGCGTCCTCTGACGCGTCATACCCATGTTCCCTGGCACAGGCATGAGAGCACCTCATTCGCTTTTGTACTCGCCAGACCCATAATATGGCTCACTGCTCTGACTCGTATTCCTCCGAACGGAAGGAGGGAGGCGCAGGGAGGGGGGGAGCGGCGGAATCGGGGGAACGTGGAAAAAAGTCACGGCGATCAATCACGGCTCTATTTCTTTACAATCCTTTAACTTGGGTATGCGCAGGAGGGGTGGGGTCAAGAATGAAAATCCACGCTGTTATTTTGATGTAAAGTCAATTGGCTGCACCTGTTACATGGAATGTTTATCACCTGTGTAATTTTAGCCCGTGTCCCTTATTGACAGATAACGTAAGGCACAGTGAAGGGAGATATTACTTTAAACTCTATTCAACATCCTTCGTGCTGCGCTTGTAATAGAAGACAAAGTGTCGATGACAACCAAAATTTACGTGAAGGGGAGAGAGCAGTGTGTGTGTGTGTCTGTGTGTTTCGAAGCAGAGGTTATAAAAAGACCAAGCAATTTGCCCCGAGACAAATTGTACAAATATTTTTCTGAATTCCATTTGGCGGCAGCAACACGTTTCTTTTTATTGATTTTTCTTAAATGACCGCTTGTTTTCCAACAACAAATACATTCGGAATTTGCTTGATGCATCGGGTGTTAGACCAGATTACATTGGCTGGTTATGGGTTTCATGTTACCATCGCCCATGCTGCGTTCAATCGGTTATAGTTTTGCAGTTGAGACACCCTTGTTTCTACACTCGCAGCGGGTGGGCTGCATCACACGATCAGCAATTGATTGGTAACCCAAAGGCATCAAAGCTGCACTCCAATGATTAATGTTCTTATTTTATTGTGATGTTTATTCTCTCAACCTGACCCATAACTACAGCAATTGACTGTATTATATTCTTGGTGCTTTCGCTAAAGTCACTGAGACAAATTGTAGAAGGGAAATAATAAAATAATATTGCTTTATTATTTCCTTTCTACGTGACTTTACCGAAAGAACCGAGAATATGAATCCCTGCAGTCACGAAAGCTTTAAATAGCAATTGACTGTATTCATATTCTTAGTTCTTTCGGTAAAGTCACGTTGAAGGGAAACAACAAATTAATAAAATATATATATAGGTAAAGTCACGTTGAAGGGAAACAACAAAATAATAATATATATAAAACATATATATTAAAAAAGAAAGAACTAAGAATATGAATCCCTGCAGTCACGAAAGCTTTAAATAGCAATTGACTGCATTCATATTCTTAGTTCTTTCGGTAAAGTCACGTTGAAGGGAAACAACAAATTAATAAAATATATATATAGGTAAAGTCACGTTGAAGGGAAACAACAAAATAATAGTATATATATAAAACATATATATTAAAAAAGAAAGAACTAAGAATATGAATTATTGCAGTCACGAAAGCTTTAAATCAATTGACTGCTCAAGCACTGCATTCAGTTAAAAACCATGACCCTGGATAAGACCAAGTCTGAGGCAATTAAATACATATAGATTTTATTGCTAATAAGAAACAGTTCAATAAAGTATGAAGAATAATGTATGGCAGAAACACCTGTCGAAGCAACTCCCGAGTAGATTTCGTGAAACATCATCGAGTTCCGTCGGTTACAAAGAGGAATTCGCCTTTCTTTCCGTGGCCGGATTCTTCCCTTCTTGGTGAGAGCCGAGCCGCTCGAGAGTTTGAGCGGGCAATGCTCGGTTTTATTTTTTTTATATTATTTCCATGGTGGGGTGACCATTCTCTCAGGAGGAAAAAAACCACGACTTTCTGCTGAGCGAATGGTCTTTAATGCATCTGCGCGTTTGCCTTCGCTGGCCCTTATGCAGTGAAGAATGTGCCCAGCTTTGTGTGTGCGCGCCGCCTGAACACATAAATCAAAGGACCAAAGTTTTTCGAAATTTTCTCGGCAAAATGTTGTTTTTGCAGGGCTATCCCTCGGGGTACAAACATACATCACGTTAAGGAAAAAAAAAACCGCCACTTTTTTCAAAATTTCTTGCTGTGGCTTTCACAACTGATGATGATTGCTTGTGTTGCAGTCGAAACGTCGTGAGAATTGTATTGTTTTATATTTTTTTGTATTTTATTGTTTCCCTTCTACGTAGTGACTTTTACCGAAAGAACCAAGAATATACATCGCCCAGCAAATAACGCTCGGGCTTTGATTATTAACCAGGTTCAGGTATTGAAAAGAAGATGTTAGGGACCCATTATTTTCATAATTACAAGGCAAACTATAGCGTTGTGTGCAGGTAGTACTGATAAAATGCGAAATTTTAAACTAACTCTTGTAAAAAAAAAGCTGCGATGTAACACTCCCAGTGAGGCTGCAGTCTATCCTCTTAGCTTATTGTATCCAGTCTATTTTGCAAAGTTTCCTCAGAAAGGCAGCAGGGAACAGAGATATATTTGTAGTTTGTTAAGGATTTTCTTATTGAGAAACATAAGATGCAAACTGTGGTTAGACGTAATATCAGAAAATGTTCTCGCGTTAAAAATTAATTTAGATTTTTTGTTTTGTTTGCGCGACATTCTGCACATCTCCTGCATAAAGAATGGATTCATATCCGTTGCCTTAGAAAAGCTCTGATCACGACAAAAAAACTATACGGTTTCTTTGCCTTGCACTACTAAAAGCAATCTGCCGGTGGGGTCACCTTTCATATCTCACTTGCAGGATTGCCAATAGTATCTGACAGTTGCCAAGGAAATTAGTTAATTTGTTGTTGACCAGTCTCTGAATAAAATATATGTTATTTTAAGATTTTCTTTATCTGCTTATGCGTTTGTGTATTTAGCCGAGTGGTGATGTGTCGGACTTGACTCACAATTTGATGGGCTTCGATTTCAAAT